GGCCAAGGTTAGAGCAACCTGGTCTAGTGGGAGGTGTCCCTGCCCATGGTGAGGGGTGGAACAATGAGATCTTTAGGATCTTTCCAAAACCCAACCCATTCCATGATTCCATGACCCTGTGACGGTTTTATGGCAGCCCAGGAAAACTGGGGAGGGAGGAATCCTGCTCCCAAATCCTGGATTTATGGACAGTGGCTGACTTCACTCCCAGCTGGCCCATTCCAGGTGGTTTTGAAGGCTGAACCTCAACCCATTGTTGGTATGAATTTTCCCCCTGTATAGATGAAAGTGTTGCAAACCCACAACCAGAGAAATTGAAACTAAAACTTTTTTTTTTCGATGCAGAACAGAATGACTTTAATGAGAAAAAAGTACACACAGAAAAACATCASAATATGAAGAGTATCATATCACAGGCAACTCCTTCCATGGATGTTCTTCAGCTGGACAGTGAAGTTGCATTTCAGATTACAAGTTATTATTTTATCGCACACATTACACACACAGAGATGGAGAAAAAAGCCCAGAAGACGATGAGCAGAAGGCRAATAAACCAAGGAGGAGTTGTGTGCCTCCAGCTCCGCTGCAGTGGGGTGGCCGTGGTCACAACACCTCCTTTGGGGTCGGGATTGCATCTCTCAGTTTCCGGTCATTCCTTACTCCGGGGTTTTCCGTGGGGTTCAGCAKGACCAGCAGCCGCCGCGGCCGTAGGGGCCGTACCAGGAGTAGGGGCTGCAGTAGCCAGAGCCAAAGCCTCGGCCAGAGCCGTACAGGCCACGGTAGCCCCCACAGCCCCACAGACCCCCATAGCCCAGGGAGGAGCCCCCATAGCCCCACAGACCCCCGTAGCCCAGGGATCCGTATCCCCCATAGCCATAGAGACCCCCATAGCCCAGGGAGCCGTAGCCCCCATAGCCCCCCAGACCCCCATAGCCCAGAGAAGCCCCCGAGGCTCCCAGGACGGGCGCTCCAGCAGATCCCACCACGGAATCCTGCGGGAAGGAGCTGAGGATGGGGCCGGGGAAGGTGACAACCACAGGGGGAGGCTGGATCACGGTGGTGGAGTCGGGGCACTGCCGGACACACGGCTCATTGGCGCTGTCGGCCAGGGGCTGAGGCCGGAGGACGCCGCAAGCGGAGGAGGGGTACAGATCGTAGCAGGACATTTTTGAGTTGTGAAGGAGGTCAACAGACACAGGCTGAAAAGAAAGTCAAAGTCTTAAAAATCCAGCAGTTTCCATTAAAATAACAAGTAGAATATTCTGAGTATTCTTCACTTCACAGTCTCAGTGCTCTTGTTCTCCCAAAAAGTGTTTTTTCAAAAATTTCTCTAGAAGCTGTCCACACACGAGAGCACATGGGGAATGTTCTGGAAAATCTTTTCCCTCAAAACATCTTGCAAAGAACTAGGACTTAYTTCTGCCCATTAAACTGAAAACTTGGGAAGCAAAAGCAGCGAGAACARAGTGACTTTGTCCAAGGTCATTGGATGAGTCATTAGGAAAACTCGGATTTGGGTTCAGCAGGTTTGCATGAGATGGGAGCTTATGTAGAACATAATTACAGTAGCTTCATCTTCCCACTCATCCCAATTTTGCTGAGAGTCAAGGGAACAACAGATTATAGGATTGGGGATGGCCCAGGATTTCCCAGAAAGGCATTTGACAAGACAATAAAAAACAAATCTCTAAGGATGTTCCGTAAATCCCTAACAGAGTTTTGAGGAGGAGCTTGAAAGCAAGAAGGTGAAGCAGAGCCCAAAGATGGAGTAACCTGTGCCAGGGCCTCACTATCCTCAGAGGAAAGGATTTAACCCCAAAATCCAACTCAAATTTCCCCTTTTTCAGTCTGAACTCATTCCCTGTGTCCTGTCCCGGCAGTTCCTGAGGAAAARTCTCTCCCCACCTTCCCTGGAGCCCCTGTGCATCCTGGTCTGAGCTCTCCACACAGCCTCCTCTCCTCCAGGYTGAACATTCCCAGCTCTCCCAGCCTGGATCCACAGGGGAGCTGGTCCAGTTGTCTCAGTCAACTCAAAGCATTGTCCAGTTGCTCCAAGGTCTGGTGTTCCTGACACTGAGAACTCCACGCACCAAAAAATTGTATCTGCCACCCCAAAGACAGAAGAACCCCTGTCCTTAGAATCTCTTCCCCAAGTCCATACAGATTCACCCAACAGAACGGATGGTGAACATCAACTCAAGTTGAAACCAGCAACACAAAATACACGACAGTGGAGAAGAGTCAGACTTACCCAAGTCTTGAAGAAGTCAAGGGAAGGCGTTTGGAGGAGCGAGGAGAYGGAGGAGCTTTTATATCAGCTGGAGCTACCAGATCAGCATCTCCTGCCCGCCCCAGTTWCAAACTCGTGCAACCACCGGGATGACGAAATTGTTGGGTTCATTATTGGCGTTTATGAGGCCTTTCAAATTTGTTTGTAATCATGATCCAAGCATCGCCGTAGATTAYGGGGAATTCTTTCATCTTGTGACGATTTAGAGGGAAATCAACACCCGGCATTATTCCTGTCACTTCCTTGGAATTACAGCTGGAATTGCTGAGCCAGCTCCTCGTGGTATTACTGAATTTCTGGAGGGTGGCTCATGGGTTTATCAGAATCGTGAAACGCAATGTCACCGGTGGGATATTTGTTTAGGTGCCTGTAATTCCCATTAAAAAACGGCCAACGTGGAAATTAAAGACTCTCAGTGGGATGTGCAGGAATTTTGGGAGTGTTTTCGACCTGTTTGGCTTCCCCAGCGGCAGCTGGGGGTCACGGCACCTCGGGGAGTGGGGGGTGGCTTCCAAAAGAGTTGGATGGGGAATGTAATGAGGACAATTCCGTTCAGGATCCAAGAATCATGGAATATTGAATTTATTGGAATCATGAGTTTAAAGGGACCCACAAGGATACTAAAAGACTCCTGGCCATGCACAGAAAAGCTCCAGAAATCCCACCAGGGGCCTGGGAGTGTTTTCCAAACTCTTCTTGACCTCTGGCAGGCCCAGAAGAGCAGCAGCAACTCCAGGGCCCTCCAATGTGTGCTCCAATCCCTTATGTAACACTAGAATTTAATCTTGAGCAGGAAAAACAGTGAAATCCCTAATTTTTGGCCAAATCCGCAGAATTCCGTGGAGGAAACAGAAAGGAACGTTTGTCTTGTTTAGGTTTGTTTGGGTTTTGGGGATCAGCAAGGAATTAATTCACAAATTAACTGAAGCCACAAAGGGATTGGAGATCCCAAAGARGTGTTGATGGTTCGGTGTTGTCCCAACAAAGATGGTCCCCCAGAACACTGAACAGGACTGAGGAAATGTGGGTTTTTTTTAGGAAAAATGGATAGTCCGTCACAAAAGTCGAAAYGCGACGGACGTGCTTTGATATCACCTCGGATTCTTAGGAATTCATGACCTCCTGTGATAGACAAGTCATAAATCCCAAACAGGGCTGAGCTGCAAGTTTCCGGGATGATGAGGGAACAATCAGGAATTTGGAATGTGCGACACAAAGGCTCCTTGCTGGCCCATTTATGGATGGGCCATTTTAATATTTCGGACTCCGCGCCATCACGGATGATCCCTAAATGGAGAGGTGGGGTTCTCATCCTTTTTGGGGGCATTTTTGGATCGTAATATTCTCAAGCTTCCGGGGAGCAAATCCATGCAAATCCTGTACATGATCCCRTAGATTAAAGGCAAGCATCTGGATTTAGGTGCCTCACAATTACGGAATGACGTCACGTTCAAACACCTCAGTCGAGATCTTTGTGTCCTTGGTGTCATCAGTTCAAGGCCAAACACYGGGCATTTTCTGCACTGATTTACAGGGTTTTTTTTTCCAATGAAAAAGAAATAGAAATAAAAAATTCTGGGTAAAACCCAGAATTTCATGAGTGGTATTTTAGTCAAAACACTTCCAGGGATGGGGCAAGGTGCTGCTCCCAAGGGACAAGGAAATGGGGAATGGCCTCAAGCTGTGCCAGGGGAAGCKCAGGTTAAACGATGAGGAGGAATTTCATGGAAAGGTTGATCACACCTTGGAAGGGATGATCAGGGGGGTTTGGAGTTCCCATCCCTGGAGGTGTCCAGGGAATTCCTGGACATYGGCCTGGGTGACCAGGTGGCATCACAGGTTGGACTCRATGACCTTGGAGGGCTTTTCCAACCCGAATTACTCCAAGATTCTGTAACAAAAACCATTTAAGGACCATGGGATGCTCTCCACGCCTTCCTTTGGGTTCCATATTGTAACGTAGCTGAATTTGATAAAGATAAAAACAATGACAGCAGAATTGCTCTATATAGTTTTATCTCCCGATGTTTTTTTAATGGAAAAAACCCACGCATCGGGTGACCCCAAGCGARCAGACAGGTTTGGCCATTAATGATGSAGAAGCYGYGGAAGAGCRKGGGGATAATTCCTGCCATAACGCYGGGRCTGTGGACAGAATGATAACAGGAAYGGAGRTGATTTGTCCCCGGTGGAGATRAAAGAGGGYTCGGTGACGAAACGCKCCRCTCACGTTTCACGAGRCTCRGGGCCAGCGGATAAACAAAGAGTCAGCAGGACTTTGAGGAGCTGCTTGTTGCATTCATTGTGGGTTTGTCCCAATTACGCACATCCCCAAATTGCACCTTAGGTGATCCTCGGGATCTCGGGAATGGTATAAAAGCTCTCCCGACACACAGCTCCTCACATTGCCTTCCTTCCTTCATTCACCTCGGTGAGAAAGGTAAGGACCATTCTCTGGGATCTCTTCCCTAAAATTCCAGTCTCTCTTTTCTGCTGGTTTTAGTTAAGGTTGGGCTCATCTTTAAGGATTCTTAGTTTCTTAATAATTGGGTTATTTTGTGATGATTATACTTTTTATTTGGTGCTGGACATTCATGAGTTTGAAATGGTAAAACCATTGTTTCTTGTTAGTAGAAATGAGAGAAATTACCCAAGCCACTTCCAAAACCTCATCAGAAGGTTTGTCCAGCCAACAGGAATTTTTAAGGGATTTTATCATGGAAGTTCTTGATATTTGTCTATGGAGAARTATATTTGGGGAAAGCTCATGAGAAAATCAATCCTAAGAGGACTGTCCAACTTTCAAACTTTTTAACCATTGAATTTCTGTCTTTTGTTCCCTCCTCAGTGTCTGCTGACCTCTTCCATCCCTGCAAAATGTCCTGCTACGACCTGTACCCCTCCTCCGCCTGCGGCGTCCTCCGTCCCCAGCCCCTGGCCGACAGCGCCAACGAGCCGTGTGTCCGGCAGTGCCCCGACTCCACCACCGTGATCCAGCCTCCCCCTGTGGTGGTCACCTTCCCCGGCCCCATCCTCAGCTCCTTCCCGCAGGATTCCGTGGTGGGATCTGCTGGAGCGCCCGTCCTGGGAGCCTCGGGGGCCTCCCTGGGCTATGGGGGATATGGATCCCTGGGCTATGGGGGTCTCTATGGGTATGGGGGATACGGATCCCTGGGCTATGGGGGTCTGTGGGGCTATGGGGGCTCCTCCCTGGGCTATGGGGGCCTGTGGGGCTGTGGGGGCTACCGTGGCCTCTATGGCTCTGGCCGAGGCTTTGGCTCCGGCTACTGCAGCCCCTACTCCTGGTACGGCCGCTACGGCCGCGGCGGCTGCTGGTCCTGCTGAACCCCACGGAAAACCCTCTGGATGATGGAGAACAGCAAAATGCAGATTCTTCTTCCCTTTGAGCCTCCATGGGTTCAGCTCCTGTTATCCCCTGCTTTAWCCCCGGTGTGACTGAACGCAGTGACCGACTGAAGCATCTTCCCGGCTCTGCCACCTCGCGTTCGTGTTCTTGGTGTTCTGATGTTGTTTTTGCTCTTTTTGCTCTTATTAAAACTCTGTTGCATAAAAAAAACCTCCTAGTGTTGGACTTCTGTACTCTCACCCACCCCTCAGTTTGCCAAATTTGCTGGGCAAAGCTCCCTGCCTTCTGTGAGGCTGCAAAAACATGGAGCAAACCCTGCCCAGAGTGGAGAATTCTCCATGGAGAGGCTTCCATGGGGCTGTTGTAACACGGAATGGTCACAACGTGGTCACAGCGTGGTGGCCAAAGAGGAGCAGCATTTTCCTCTGCTCCCCATTCATGAGCTCTGTGGGGAGAAGGAATTTAAAACACACAAGGATCTCGTGGAATTGTAGAATTGGGTTGGAAGGACCTTAAAGATCATCAAGACCACGGGCAGGGACAGCTCCCACTATCCCAGGTGGCTCCAACCAAGCCTTGGACACTTCCAGGGATGGGGAATCCATGGAATAACCCGGGCCAGGGCCTCACCACCTTCACAGGGAAAAATTTCATCCCAATACCCAACCTCAATTTCCCCTCTGGTGCTTTTAATCCATTTCTCTTGTCCTGTCCTTCCAGACCCTTGGAATTTATCTCTCCGTGTTTCTTGTAGCCCCTTCAGGCCACATTAAGGCCACCCCAGAACCTTCTCCAGGATGAGAAATCCCAATTCCCTCAGCCCTTTCACTATTTATTCCCACATTTGGGACTCCTCTKGTTCTGTTTAATTCATTGATAAAATAAATATAAATAGAATTTGTGCCCGTATTTTATAAGTAGCCTAAAACCCAACAAAAGCACTGCACCCATGTGTGTCGCATCTTCTTATCAGCAAAGCACAAAACCACCTCCTGACTCCTGCAGATCCTTATCTCACAGGGAGTTTTCTTCATCAGGTTCAGCTGCCAAAAGATCTCAGGGTACATATTTTCCCTGCAGCAGAAATAATCGCTGAACATCACCATGTTTAGAGAAACTCTGACAAGAAACTGAAGGAAAAACACGAATTAAAAATGGCAAAAGCTGCTCTGCAGCTGGACAGACCATCCAGCAAAAAATCTCAGTGTTCATTACTTAAAAAAGTGGCGGAAAAATCTGCTTTTTCATTCGGTTTTATTTCACTGTCTCTGGAAAACTGAATTACTGTCCCAGCAAAACCCAGGGCTTCCCCAGTCACATCTAAACAAGAGCCAGAAGGGATGTTCTACCTCCTGCCAGGACCTGAAAATCAGTCAGAAAGTTCATTCACTTCCTACCAGGACCTGAAAATCAAACAGAAAGTCTGTCTACATCCTGCCAGCACCCAAAAGTTTGTAAGAAAATCTGTTTACTTTCTACTAGGACCTGAAAATCAGTCAGAAAGTCCATCTACCACCTGCCAGGACCTGGAAATCAGTCAGAAAGTCCGTCTACCTCCTGGCAAGACCCAAAAAATCTGCCAGGAAACCTATGGTGGTGAAGAGAAGGCTGAGAAAAACACAGATTTTCTCAGATTTTTCAGGAGTCGCCATCCCTGGAGGTGTCCAGGGAATTCCTGGATGTTTTCCTGGGTGACCAGGGTGGGGTCGGGCACCGCTTGTACTCAGTGACCTTGGAGATCTTTTCCAACTTCAACAATTCTGGGATTCTGTGAAACTCCYGGCAGTTTCGAGGAGGGACTTTTGGGTTGCTCTTCAAGAACCCGAAGCTCCCATTAACGCGTTCGTCACACCTGGGTCGTCCCCGCGGTGACGAAAGGGTTTTGCTCAAGATTTCTGTTTATGAGCCGATCCAAACTCTGACGCTGCACGAAACCCAAATTACAACCCCAAGATTTCTTTCATCTCAGYGCTTAATTGGCCGAGATTCACGCCTGGTAACGTTCCATGAAATGCATTTGGGATGACAGAGCGGATTCTGCTGCTTCGTTTAKTCACCTCTCATTACCTGACATAATGGTGCTGGCTCAAGCCTTAATCATCATTTTCATCTGCTTGAAGGTGCAAGATTTTTTCCCTTCTTTCTTCACCCGTGACAGATAAAAAAAATGATTAAAAAAAAACCTCATTGTCTTCCTCGTGAAATCAGCAAGTTTTACATGAAATTGGAATTCAAATTTGGACAAAACCATTCTGCACTTTTTAGTGGMAATCAAAAATTTTTTTGARCTATCCAGAGCCAGGTTTTGTCTCTCAGATGTTTGGGCTACAAACAGAGAAAATGTGAATTAAAACATCAGCACTGAAGGAGAAACTCACCCAAATAAATGAAAACTTAAATGATACCAGAAAATCAGCCAAAATCCTGAAATTAGAAACCGTGAGCTGGTGAAGGGAACAGTAAGAATTCGCTTGGACAATTTTTTTCGTGTTTTATTATTAATAAGAATTAAAACCTTTGAATAGATCTTAATTAGGTTTAAAAATGCTGGGCTGTTAGAACACAACCACATATTTCTATTGCAATAATCATACCCCACTTCATGAATAAATTATTAATGAGGGTTTGGGAAGTGCTTGAAAACACAAGCCAAAAATATTTGGACAACTTTTGGGGGAATTAATCCTGTAACCCCCTGGGGACTTCTCAAGATTTGGTAAAAAAATCTCCCCATTTTTATTGTAACTTTGACAGAAATGTGTTTATTTAACATCCACAACAAATGAGGGGTTCTGAGGTGGGACCCGGCTCTGCTCACCACCCAGAATTTCGGAATGAGGGAGTAAGGGTGGGACGCTTCATCAAACATTCCGTGTTTACGAGCTGGGGCTGAGCTGGCTCTGTGTCCTCACAGCCAATGAAAGCAAAATTGGGGTGTTTYGGGTGTGAAACCAGCTCGGGTAAACACCAGAGATGGGGCGAAGTGTCCTGAGGAAATTCCTGTCCCTCCCCACTGAGGGTTGGGGAAGGCTGAGTAATTCTGTGGGGTGAAGAGAAATGTTTGATCTCCCAAAAGGGTTCACATTTGCCCGGATCCATCTTTTTTTTCTGGTGTTTTGTGGAGAAGGTTGTGTGGAGAACCCACTGCATCTCCCAGGACCTGCAGGGGCTCCAGGGAGGATGAAGAGGGACTTTTCCTCAAGAATTGTAGTGACAGGGACACCAGGAATGGGGTCAGGGTGACAGAGGGCCTTGGAAGGGGCTGCCCAGGGAGGTTTGGAGTCGCCATCCCTGGGAGTGTCYGAGGAATTCCTGGACATTAATCTGGGTGGGGATCGCTCCCAGGTTGGATTCAATGTTCTCAGAGCACCTTCCCAACCTCAGTGACCCTGGAATTCTGTGAAAAACACACCAATATCCCTCTCTAAACCCCGTTTTAGGCACTAAATTATTGTGTTTTCCGCATCGAGGAAAACTGGGAGTTTCCAAATCCCATCGGACAAACCCACGATTCCCACAAAGACCCGAGGTTTGTGTCCGGGTGGGTTCCTTCCACCTCTCCGAGCTTTCCATTGCAAAATCTTGGAGCAGAAGCGACGGGAGCTGAGATCAGGAGCCCTCGGACCCAGCCCTGTCCACGGCAGCAAATTCTGGCTCTGATGAAAATCGTTACGGGCGGGTAATGAAGGAAGTGCTCAATAAACGGGAGTTAATTCCTGCTGGGCGGGATGATCCCGGCGGGAAGCTGCTCCGTCAGGCTCTGAGATGAAAGGGTAGCCGGAGCTGGAATGTGCCGATTTTGCTGGGCAGAGATTTAGGGAGGTTTCGTCACTTTGGGGAGCGATTCGGGGCTCGGCTCCCGAGCTGGGCGTGGCTTGGCCCCGGGGCATCCCAGGWTTTGTATAAAAGCTGCAGCTCCGCGGAGCTTTTCCATCATTCTCCTGCCGTTCTCCTCTCCGACAGGTGAGTCTGATGCCTTCTCGTTCCCCTCCTGGAGTCTTTGCTCTTTGATTTTTCATTCCGGTTGCTGTTCATGACTTTTACCTTCCTTTTCTAGACTCTATCTCCACCCCATCTCCATCTCTATCTCCATCTCCAACTCAGTCACCAAATCCATCTCCATCTCTGTCCCCATCTCCATTTCTATCCCATCCCCATCTCCATCATCTCATCTCCATTTCCGTCCCATCTCCATCTCCATCTCCATCATCTCCATCTCCATCTCATCTCCGTCCCCATCTCCATCCCCATCCTCATCTCCATCCCATCTCCATCTCCATCCCCATGCCCATGCCCATCTCCATCTCCATCTCCATCTCCATCTCCATCTCCATCTCCATCTCCATCTCCATCCCCATGCCCATGCCCATCTCCATCTCCATCTCCATCTCCATCTCCATCTCCATCTCCATCTCCATCTCCATCTCCATCCCACCTCCACTCCACCTCATCTCCATCTCCATTCCACCCCACCTCTCCTCCACCTCATCTCCGTCCCACCC